CGAGTAGCTGCAATTTCATTAGGAGAGAAAGATCACTTCGTGAGAGCTCGGCCAGTGCTGTGGAAAAGTGCTGAATGTGATTGTGAGGTATGGGGCAAACCTTTTAACGCCCTCATCGATACCGGCTCCTCTGCGGTCGCCATATCATTAGACACCGTAAAGAGAACGGGACGACTCAACTCGATCCTCCCTCAATCTGGCAAGAACCAATACGTCTCTGCCGACGAGGAAGCAATGAATATTGAAGGAGTCATCGAGAATGTGGCTGTGAAAGTTGGACGAGTGCACGTCCTCGTTAACACTTTAGTCATAGATGTGCACTCATATTCAGTATTGTTGGGATTGCCTTGGGCAATGACGGTAGGTGCCCGCCTGCATTTTGATTCCAAACAGTTGGTACTCATGCAAACAGGAGGAAAGCCTCAGATGGTTCCGTTGCGGATTTCAACCCGAGCAGTAAAAAGGAATCCTAACCCTGCTCGGATAGGGATGATTCAAGGTCTCGATCACGAGGAGTCTTCATCCACGGATGACAGTAGCGGATTCGAAGAACATGAGTGCGAGGAAGAGATGCCTTGCGAGAGTGAATGGAAACACTTGGTCGAACTTTTCGAGCACGAAACCCCCGAGGAGTTTCGGATGATCCCAGAGCCGCCTGAACCTTCCATCTGGAAGACAGCGCGCTCGCGCCCATGGAAACTCGGGTCAGTCCTTCGACCTTTCTTGGAGAACCCATCCTGCAAATATCTGACCTAGCAGACGATTTGGAACCCCCTCGCACCTTGTACGAGGGAACACTTTCCCTACGAACATGCTATCAACAGGCGAAACAATACCTAGATGTTTCTGTTTCCCCTCCAAGATCACTGCTTACGACAGGAGCGACCATCGCTCTGATTAAACAAGATGCCGAAGCTCCTGTCAGCGATGTGCCTGATCTAATGCAGGAAATGGTGGATCTAACCGGACTAACAGTAGAAGGAACCTCGGTGGATTCGGAAACTGACACCGAAGCTAAAGAGACCGAGATGATTAACCTTGTTGAATCCCAAATGATCGCGACTGTATTTTCTGCCCGCACCAGCAGCTCTATTTTTTCTAGCGTCCATGACCGATGGAATCAGCCTGATGAGTCGATCGACATACCCCTGGAGATACCGGATCAACCGACCGTCACCCTGCCTTCTCACGTCCCCCTGGAATTTCGAAAATCACTGATTGATGTCTTAAATGGGTACGTAGAGGTATTAAGTGTGAGCGATAACGATATTGAACTGACCAACGTGATAAAGTATGTTATCCTTACAGGAGATCATCCGCCTATTAGTTGTGTCCCTTATCGATACTCGCTAGCCCAACGGGCGGCCGCGTTTCAGCAAATCAAGGAATTTGAGGCTAATGGATGAATCGAACCTGCAATAGGACCTTGGTCGTTTCCCGTAGTAATCGTGCCCAAAAAGGCCGGAGGGATTCGCATATGCATCGATTATCGAAAGTTGAATGATATCACTATCAAAGGTGTGTATCCCCTCCCCCGGATTGATGAGTTGTTGGATGTGATTGGGAGTGCTCGATTTTTCAGTAAGTTTGATGTTCGACATGGGTTTCATCATCTTCTTGTTCGAGAGGAGGACCGTCCAAAAACGACGTTTGTACTGTTTGAAGGAACTTGGCAATGGGTTCGATGTCTGATGGGCATCTGCAATGCTCCAGCAACTTTCCAGCGAGCCATGAATATGGCTTTTCATAACTTTGTGCGGAAGACGCGACTGGCGAAGAGCATCATCAATTACTGTGCAATCGTGTATATGGATGATATTCTGGTTTATTCGAGTTCCTATGAGGGGCATGTGCAACACATCGAGTGGACGCTACACGCTTTGAGAGATGCTGGTTTCAAGGTGGCGCTTTAGAAGTGTCAGTTCTTTCTCACCACTATTTCTTTCCTAGGACATGTGGTGACCGACCAGGGACTTAGACCGGAACCACAAAAGGTGGCAACCGTGAGAGACGCGTCTCTGCTCACGACTATCACGCAAGTTCGCTCCTTTTTGGGCCAGGCCTCATACTACCGAAGGTTTATCAAGGGCTTCGCGGCTATTGCGGGTCCCCTCACGAATCTGTTGAAAAAGGATCAGCTGTTGATCTGGACGCTGGAGTGTGATCAGGCGTTCTCGAAACTCAAGGCAGCCCTTATTTCGGCCTCGGTCCTTATAAGACCGGATCCTGCGAAGCCTTTTGTCCTCATCACGGACTGGCAACCGAAGGCAATCTCGGCGATCCTGGCCCAGGTGGGACCTGACGGACTCGAATGTGTGGAATACGCGTCTAAGTCGGTGCCTGCTTGCAAGCGCAATTACGCCGCCCCGACAGGTGAATGTTATGCAGCTCTGTGGGGGATCAGCCACTTTCGAGCCTATTTGTATGGGCGGAAGTTCACACTGGTCACCGATCATGAGCCATTATTAGCCCGGAAGAAGTCTAAGGATTACTCGGGCATGATCGGGAGATGGGCAACAGTGCTACAGAGCATGGACTTTGACATTCGTCATCGGAAGCACGAGAGGCACGGGAATGCTGAGGGCCTGACACAACTGCACCGACCCGAGAAGGTCCTCAAGAACGAAGAAGTGATTTCGTGGAACGAGCCGAAGAAGGAAAGCGTACCGCGATACGGACAAATGAAAATTTTGTCAAAGGAGTGAGTGTACGTAGCCTCGCTCTGACCTCTCTGCAGCCTTGATCACTCTCTCTCTCCTCCTCTCTCATAATGGCTACCCCACATGTCTCCATGACCCCTTCTTCCCCTGCTGATTCCGGCCCTCTTGCCAGCTCGGCCTTCTTTGTCACCCTTCCCGACAGATTCTGCTATTTTTGCACGTGTATCACACAGGTATATGAGGTGAATTGTCATCCTTTTGAGACCGGATTCGTTGAGTGGGTAAATTGTGCCACGTGTGTCAATCGTGCACACTGTGCATACGTTCGATATCGAACAAGTAGTAGGGAATAGAAATGCCCTCTGTCTAGGACGGACAAACTACCTACTGAGGTTCGATTCGAGGCTGCCCGTACGGACGGCCCTGAATATGACGAGAAATACCGACGAGCGGAGGTCTGGACGGATAAAATCCTATTGGCTAAGCTGGCTGGGTTACCATTGGATCATCTCACTAAGCACGACAGACGTCGGGCTACCGAGAGATCTCGGGATTACCGATGGATCAACGGTCACCTAGAAAAGCGTAAAACTGACGGGTCGGGTTTGTGGTTGACGGTTCCCTATCCATTCCAAAGATATGATTGGACCCGATCTGCTCACGAAGAACAGGCCGCTCACTTCGCGATACGTGTCACGGAGGCAACTATAGATCAGAATCAATGATTTTGGTCTAATATACAGGACGATGTCAGATACGTAGTCGCCAACTGTCTGGTTTGTGTTGTCGATCGTGCCCCAAGGGGCCAAACACGATAGTGCCGACAGAAGTAGAGCGCCCTTTCCAGCGAGTCAGTATGGACACGACAGATATCGACGTGCCACCTGGTCCAAACCGTTGCCAATATTCCATTCTTTTAGTTTTAATAGACCATTTTTCCAAATACATTGAAGTATACCCCTGCAAGACCCATAAGGCCGCAGAGATAGCCACATACATCGATCGGTTTCTCTATACTCACCTAGATACGAAAGAAATTCTAACCGACAATGGGTCCGAGTTCAAAGGTGAGGTAGAGGAATTACTCGCACGAAGAGGCATTACGCTTTGACACACGGCACCCCACGTTTCTCAGTCCAACGGGTTGGCCGAAAATGCCAATCACATGATTAAGACTGCCCTCCGTAGAAATCTAGCGGCGCGTGACACGCGTCCCTGGCCCGAGATCGTATACTAAATCGTCGGAATTCACCGGGCCACCCCTCATGAATCCAGGGGGACAGAAAATGACTGATCTAGCCCACGGAAGACAAGTCCGTAGCTACGAGGCCTGAAATGGGAACGTCGGTCCCCAACATCAATATAAATTAGGGGACCTGGTACAGGTACGTAAATGTGCACGCGACTGGAAACTCGCTCCCAAGTTTTCTGGCTGTTTCCGCGTTGTCGAGCTCGGACCCAACGGTGCCAACACGGTACGCATCGCGCCCGAGACAAGCGCCAGCCATAGCTCTCTCCCCATCATCCGCCATACTTCTTACATCCGTCTCCTCCCTCCCTCTGACATCCCTCCATCTCCCTCGTCTGCTGGAGAAGAGGACGAAGACGATCTAGTTCCCGCCTCACTCTCTCCCTCCTGCTCCCCTCTTCATCTTCTTCCCCGACCTCACCATGAGTTTCATCACGGAGCGAGCTCTTCGCGATCATCTGTTCCAGCCACGTGGCTACATCTCCGAGATCCGGCAAGTTCGTCATCCGCGGCTCAGTCCTGATTTACAGAGGTTAGAGCAGTTTTTCTGCACCGAGGGAGTATGTGTCGCTGCTGCGTTTCGATTCGCTGGGAGTCAGCAGGCAGTAATATTGGCGGAGGTGGTGGCACTTCATCGACGAGCGGTTCCCGGGACGAGCCACGTCACCACGGTCGCTGCCTTCAGCGGCGACATCAGTACGATCAGCCCACTGCGGCATACTGCGATCTTGACCTCTTTGCGAGAGTGGACGCAGCAGGTGTCAACTGAGTGGCATCACGGTCTTGCGCGTCCAGGGTACAGTCTAGTCCCGACATCCGGGACGGACTTCGACATTCGCACTTCTCCGCGCCAGCCGACCGTCACGCTCCCCGCCCTCATCCCCTTCCAACGCCCCCAATAAACCGCGTCGCTCCTCTCGCTCCTCTCTCCACCTTTGGTCTCCCCTCTCTTTTTCCCACCTTCTGGCAATCCAATCTCCATCCTCGCCTTTCTTTCCTGTTCGAACCTCTTGCCGTCCCGCTTCTTGATCCCAGGGACTGGCGGGTGTGGCGCGAGACCTTTGTCGATCTGTCTGTGTGCTTGGCCCCAGTGCAAGTGACGTGGACGCAGACCAGTGAGCAGCCTGCGTGCATCGAGTACCTGGAGCTGTTGATCCTGCAGGCTTGGAGAACGGACGTGGAAGGTGATCTTCTCGGTTTTCTCTTCGGATCGGAGCGGCTGGACCATCGCCAGCCGATTACTCGAGAACTCGTCGTCCCGCTCGTGCAACTGGCTGACGATCTCTCCCTCGACATCGTTTCACAAAGCGACGACAGTCCCGCTCCACACATCATCTCGAGGGCATTAGCACCGTATCTTCAATGGACTGCTTGCTTGGAGGAACCTGGGAGTGATAGCACTCTGCCATCACGGCAGGAGTACTTGAAGCCGTACGGGATCATTGATCGCGCCTTCTATCCGAAGGAGCCCGAGGAGGCGCTTGAAGGAGAAGAGGAAGCCACTGAAGAAGAGGGTGACGCCAACGAAGAAACGTCAGAGGAGGGAAGTTATAGCGAGTACAGCGAAGGGGAACAGAGTGAAGAAGAGGTAAAAGTAGAAGAAAAAAAAGAAGAAGACGAAGAGGAGGAAGCCGGATCGGAGTGGGAGGATTTGCCGGAAGAAGCGGCGCGCACAGGCACGGAGGCGGAAGATCTCGATGCAGCACGTAGAAGGGAAGAGATCGCCGACGTGAAAAACCAGCTGGAGATCGCCAGCGAGGCGAGCTTGTACATCAACGACGACCCAACCAGGGATCCTGAGCCCCCCGAGCCCGAAGATGGCGGATCAGCAACCGCGGCCCCGAGCGCATCGCGACGGAGACGGAGCCGATCTCCCTCCCCCTCCACCCCAACCCGTCCCCCAGTTCGTCCACGTACCGATGCGGGGGATCGGCCTTCGTCCCCGGTCATTATCCCGCCGTCCCCTTGATTGCCTTACCCTCTCCCAGATTTCTACCCCCGTCACCTTCCCTCGCAACCCCTTTCCTCCCAATACTTTCGAGCACTTTTACTCCACCCGTCTCGCCGTCACCATCCACCCCCACCCTTCCCTCCAATCCGCGAACCCCACGTTTTGTCTACACATCCTCCTGTTCAGTGTCGCGTGGCAACAGAGTAACGCAGTAGAAGCCTACTGCGTAATCACAGGGACCATCCCCGCGTGTCGCCATCACGAGTAGTTTTGCGCGACACTCTTCCGCACTTTCTCCACCCTTTACCCTTACTACCTCACCTCCCTCCCTCACAGCGGCGATCGGTTTACTCGTTTCTAGTAGTTTCGCGAAGATCACGCCATTGACAATGACGTCAACTTATGCTCTGATTCGATCGATTGCGGAGGACTGGGGGTGCAGAGCACACGGAGATCTGATGGACCATGATGATGCCACCTGGACGATCTCCGAAGTTCGAAGGACAGGGGGTTGCATATGACAGGGCTGCAGAAAGTGGGATCCGAAACTGCACGAGCCGGCATGCATCACGAAGATCTTGCCACGGATGTTGTCGTTAGCTCATCATGATGATCCAAACCCCTACTTCTTCCTGTTTCTTCGTTCCTTGTACATCTTTCTGCTTCTTTGTCCCCTCATATTCCCTTTGTTCGAGCTTTCATGCAATCAGGAGATCGCATAATTTTGGAACCCCCTGCGCGTCACATATGTGACGAACCATTTCCCGACCCCGTGCTATCTTTCGTACCCCCTTGACCCAATACCCCGTTGTGTATCATACCGACCCCACAGAACCCTTGTCGCTTTTCTTGATTTCAGGCGCCTTGTTTGGGCCCCCATTTTTCGGAAGTTCTATTGATTCTTGGAATTCTGCTTTTTGTATTTCGGGAAATGCACGGGAAATTACGCGCGCCTTAGCGAGCCCGCCGGGAATCGGGCTCGACAGTTAGGAATTACAGAATAAGCGGAGCCCGATGTATCTTTTTTTCTTGCATGAATGTTCTCGGTCACAACGGAGAAAACTCTAGGAATTTTGTGAGAATACGGATAGGCATAGGACTTTCTTTTCCCGCGTCGACTTTCGCGCGCGGATATGGTGATTTCAATTTTTGAATTGGTGTAGGATATAGGCAAGTTGTAACTGTATCGGTGCCTTTTTTCTCTTGTTGTCGGCACCACGCATGCGAGCATCCTCCTCCTTATTTCCCGCGTCATCCTTCCCCCGCACTCTCTCCTCTCTCTTCCCCCTCTTCTCCTTCTCCTATCGCAACTGTTTTTCCCTCTCTGCTTTCTGTGCGCCTGCTTCCTTTTCTTGATCGTTTGAATCTTGGACCTGTCTCGCGCTGCTTTTCGCGCCTCGTCTCTTCTCGCTCATCAACCTTGGCTCACGAAGTCCGGTTGATCCTCCGATCACCCCGGCTCACCAATCGGACGCGTTGAGTAAGAGGATCTTCCTATTGCGCGACGAATCTGATTGGCCGACCATTGGGTTCTAAAGGATCAACATGGCTTTCCTTGAGCACCCTTCGCTGAACCTTCTCTCCTTACACCTCGATCTCCCCTCAGACTCTTCCCCTATCTATCCTTTCTCGCAACTATAAATTTCACAAACGCGCCCGCAAAACTCTCTTATGTTGTCCACTCGCAAGCCACCTTCTGGGAAGGAATGGCTAGGTGATGCGTCTGGTGCGAGTCGAAAAGTCCTGTCGAGTTGACTGTAGTCTGGCCGGCTGCGCGCTTGATCGCCACGACGGACTGTGGGATCCGGGCGAGCCGCGTCTAGTCTGCGTCAGCGGGGTAACGATCGCAGTGGCGGAAGTTAGCGCGCGACGGCCAGGATCGTCGGTGCGGGTATGAGGATGTGTGATTGGAGTTGAGTGGATGATTGGCCTGGGGCCATATTGGAATTTTACAGCGAATGCGCCTTCATTGCGGATCATTTTTCTTGTGTGAGTTCATGGTTGTGAAGCCGAATGTTCTCTTTTCGAAGTTTGGTGTCTTTTGTCTCGGCTTTTCTCGTCCCTCCCTCCCATCTCTCTCTCTCTCTCTCTTTGACTTGAATGACGATGTGTTGTGGGTTTGTCGCTCTTGTGAACCGAAGCGAACTTTTGTGAGTTCTCGCAGGGAAGAACTTCTTCCGGAACTCTTCCATTAGTTTCCTGGGTAATCCCCAGATGTCGAGGACTTAATCCTCTTGTCTTGTGAACGGTGGATGCGTGTGTACAAATCCCTCGGTTGATTTCTGACGTGTGCACCCTTGTCATTTTCGCACCTTCCACAGTGGACGTATGTATAGAGATGCTCGTCTTTTTGCGTTGGTTAGACTCAGCGCTCGACGGGATTTTGTTCGAGAATGCAAGAGTGTTTAGATCGGTGGTTCCGAATGCACTGCGCATGCTATCTGCCTTATGCTGCATGACATCAACAGACAGTTGGTGAGGCAGCCTCGTGTTCTTGTTGATCGGGTCTGTTGAAACTGAGTCGCGGGTTGATCCCTCGGAACTCCAACCCGATTAATGCATGATTGTGCGGGTTCCGTAAACTATTTCCCTCGCGATCAAAGGAAGGAAGATACTAATTAATTCTTTTTGTGCTTTTTGATGACGTCTCGAAGATTTGTGTAAATCCCGTCTGGTTGATTGACATGTGGACTAACGGTCGTTCCTCGATCGGGCGCCAGCCTTCCGTATCTCCCCCGCCGACGCGCCCCTTCCCCTACAACGAGGAAAGGACACGTGTATGCGAGTGGGACGTACAGAAAGTTGTCGCACGCATTAGCGGGCAATATTACTTCCCTCCTGAAAATCGCTGCTCCGGATTCGTGGATGCGGGCTTTGTCATTATCGATATGCACTTTCCACCCTACTCAGTATTGTTGCCATTTAACGAGTTGATAGTCATTCTGTGGACGGCAGTGGCGCCCCATTGGCCTCAACCCTATGCACTGCGTGCCAGCGTTTCAATCGCTACGAATCGAAGGGCTTCCACTACCGGGTACGGAGTGAAGACGAGCACAAGGAAAGAGCCACGCGGCCGAGGCCATCCACATCCAACTCGGAACTGACCCACGAGCGACTTCGGGACTTGATACGGAAACGAGATACGCGGAGTGTGCCAATGCCCTTCCGCTCTAAACGAATATCCGTAGCCTGGTGGGAAGCTCGACAATACTTTTTGGATTGAATTTGGATTTTTCTCTTTTCGCGCCGTGCCCGCTCGCACATTCCGCGACGTGCGAAAGCAACCGACTTACTTCATCGGCCTAACACGGGGGATTTCAGTTCTGTCTGTGTCCCCACACTCAATTTTTCAAAAATCCTTGGCACACCCCATCTTGCTGTTTTTCTGGGCCTTTATTCCGCACCTTCAGCACTCCAAACGAAAGACAGCACAGGGCGTGAGGTTAGCTCGTCACATGGTGGCTCCATCACCAAGGGGGCCGCCCCCCGGAAAGACAGCAGGTCACATGGGTTCCCCAGGGGACCCCAATCTGGGTTTTAGAGGTTAAGATGTCTGCAGAAGGGAGGACCCCAGTAAACGATGAATGGATAGCAGCCTCGCCCCTGGCCAAACTCTCCCAATGGAATCATCAGAACACGTCACTCTTCGGACGGCCGCTGGTTATCAACAATGTAGTCCTAACATCCCTATGGTACAAGTCTGTTCTCTGGCCGCTGAGTGAGGGTGCCTTGAAATCCCTGAAGAGAAGAGTGGCAGCCTACCTATGGAGAGGCGGCAGTGAAAACCCCCATGCCATCGGCCGAGTCGCGTGGGACTCGGTTACCCAACCTAAGACAAAAGGGGGGCTCGGCATATTAGACCCCCTTACTCAATCCCAGGCCCTTAGTCTACAATGGATTGTGAGGCTGATCTTTGTAAACCTGCTGGTATGGCGGCCTCTAGCTCTTCAGCAGATCGCCCGGCTTGCCCCGGAGGCTCCCCCCATAGTCCATCCTCTTCAATGGTTGGATGACCGCTATTGGAGAGTACCTCGCCGTCCCCGGGGGGGGGAGGGGCGAAGGTATGACTTCTGGCCTCGCCTGTTAAAAACTTGGAGGAGACTTTCACCCCCGTGTCGTCCACCCCCAACCAGATGGGATGAAGTGGCAAGACAACCCCTCTTTGGCAACCGCTGGATCACCAACGGTCAGAATCAGATCTTTTGTAGCTTTGAAGCCCCATGGAAAGAATGGGTGAAGAATGGGGTAACCCGGGTGAGAGAACTGTGGGACATTGAGAAAAAGGATTGGAAGGGCCCGGAGGAGATGAAGGAGAGTCTGAGATACTGCCATAACACAGAATCAGCATTGGAGGAGGTCACGGAAGCCCTTCCGGTGGGATGGCGGCTCATCTTGTGCAACGTTCCACTGGTGCAGGAGGAGGACTGGGTGTCCAAGGACGGGTGGACCGATAGAGTGGGCTTAGTTCACCTGGTACGATCGGAGGAAGCATTGATCGAATGGTATAACAAAAAGGAAGGGGGGCCATTAGTTGGAAGCCGGGATCCCTTCCAATGGATATCGAAGGCGACCCTATCCAGAATTAGGATTATAGGGGAAGGGGAGAACATAAGGGCGTTCATGCCCTAGATGGTTGTACAAGACTTACCTATAGATCCACTGGAGTGGTGCTGGAGCCAAGACGTACGACATAAACCGGGACAGGTAAGCTCAACAGCGCTGGCCGACCTCTCAGTGAAAGCAACCTACAGGAAGATCAGAACCAAACGGTATCTGAAGGACGTCGTAATTGACAGATGGCAGATGCACCTCAACGTGGAAAGACAACTCCTCACCCCAATTCGATGGTTTAGTGATACCAAATGCAGACCTGCCAAAATAACGTCCCTGCAATGGAAGATACTGCATCGCTGTTTACCAACAAATGATTGGTTGATTGATCACTCGCACTTGGAACAGCAGGGTCGGGCCCTCCCTTAGTGTTCGCGCTGTCTGTCGGGCTTCCCAACAAAGAAGAGAGCAGAAACAATAGAACACATCTTTCTGCGATGCCCGACATCAGTTTTAACTTGGAGATGGTGGGATAGAGTGTGGCAACAAATCGTTCC